TTGGTTTCTTCTTAGACAGAAAAACCGACTCTAAATAACTATTTTAAGAAGAAAAACCTAAAAGAAACTCCATACATTGTGTATAAGCTAAGACCAAATCAGTTCCTACTTGTTCTTCATTCTCCACCTGTTTAAACAAACAATATTTCAGAGAGTGTATAAGCTAAGAATTCTAAAGAAACAAACCATATATAAGTTTAAGAGATCCCTTACCTTTGGAAAAAGAAGATGCTTCTTCAATTACTTTGGAACTCTATTCCCCGAGAACCATCTTCTCGAAGCGACTAGGTTGAGAATCTGATTGATTGCTACCCAGAATCATCATCATAATCAGAAACCTCTCTAACCTCAGAACCATCATCATCAGAAACCTCTGCATCCTCAGAATCAAAGGCACTCATGTCAAGCTTGTAACGAAGTATCCCTCCAATCCCTCCAAGGTCTTTGCAAAACTTATACCCTTCTTGTGATTTGTTGGTTACAAACTCTAACGCACAACCAAAACGCTTGTATTCATCAGCAAACCACTCTATTAATGGCATCTTCTCCTTCACATCCAATTCTTTGATATTCGTTGCGTCTCTTTCTTCTTCCTTGTTCAAATGTTTTATCACAGTTTCGCCTGTCAAACTATTCTTCATCACATATCTATTGATATCAAGGTCTTACCACACAATAAGCGTCTCGAGAACACTAGAATCCAAAGTGTTTAATGTATCATCCACGCCGATTACGTACTTCCCCGTGTCCTGGTTTATCTCTTTAAAGTACTTATCTAGCAAACACTTCTCTTTAACGAACTTTACAGCCGCCGTAATATGAGATGACAGCTTGATAGCCTCATTAAAACCGTCTTCTCCTCCATTTGTTACATGCACAACATTCACTATCTTCGCCGCAAGTATTACACTGACTTAATTCGGTCTTGAAATCCCTGAACCAGCAAGTATTAGACCAGTAACGTTAGGTTGATTTGTTGAAGGGTTGGTGTATAACTGTGTGGCTAGCTCAGATGTTTTCCTCAAGTAATTGTGGCCCTTTTCCACACGGAGACGGTCAAACCGAAGGGCCAATTGTCCTCCTCTCCCGTGTTTTTTTGGAAGATCAACGGTAAACTTGTGAAGCACGCCATGAGAATTACCACACATAGTTCCAAAGAAAGTGCCTTTTCCGTCAATTACAATAAAACCAAACCTATCGTCAGTCTCAAGCAATTCCGAAAGAGCTTCGGTGTGAAACTTATTGTCACAGAGGTAGAGACTACTGTTTATCGGTCTAAAAGGCTCGAAGGCGGTAGTAAACTTCTTTTCTCTGCCTTCCTCGTTAACAACAGTACCGGTATAGAGCACTAAACCATTGCGAGGGACTTTGTTGTAAAGTTGCAGCCTTTGTTGCGCATAAGTTATGGCGGCCAAAACAGATTGGCGATTGACTCTGCTCTTGATGTGTGACGCGGTTCCATATTCATCAACCAACATCTTGGTAACACGAGAGATCTGATCACGAGGAGGTATGATGAGTGTGATCATGCTTGTTCCGATTCCCCGAGCGGCTTCAAGAGATTTGATCAGCTTCTTAAGCTTCCATATCTCAATGTGCATGTTGTTTGTCTACCATCTTAACAAAAAATCTGCAACAACACAAAGTCCAAAGGTACTTAAAGACGAAATCTTGTACATTTATGAGAGAATCAGTAGTACTTAAAGACGAAAATCACTATAAACCAGAACC